TCGGGGAAGGAAGGGGCCCAGGCGGGGTCTGCAGTAAGGAGGTGCCGCCGCCTCGCAGGCTGCTCTTGAGTGGAGGTCCAAGGCCCCCCCTTCCATTCGGGTGGCGGGCGGGAGGGGCCTTCTTCCGCCCACGGGGCCTGGAATGTGCCGCTGGCTCCCGGCGAGGCCGTGGCGGGGTTCACACGTGAGGCCCGAAGCGGGTGGGCTTGCCTTGGGATGCGTGTAGGCGAGCCAAGGGGGTCCTCGTCTTCTTATTCGGTTTTCATCCCGCCATACACGTGTGCATCTGTGTGGTGTGAATCGGCCAGTTGGGCTTCAGACAATACCTCCGCCGTGACCTAGGAGAGCCCGTGAACCTGATCAGCGTCTCCCAGGGAAGGGCCGGACCTCGGCTTCCCTCTGGTCCTGGTAGGACGGGAGAGCTGCTCCCCCCGCCGCGCCCCCGGAGGGTTCACTTGCCGAGCGTCGGCGCTTTCAGGCTCGTCTGCAGAGCGCGTAACCCGCAGGAAGGCGAATGCCGGAGTGGCAGCTAGCCTCTCTGCCCGAAGTAATGGCGCTTTTCCTGGTCAGATGAAACCCACCCGGAGCACATTCTGGTGGTTGATAGCCGGGGAAAAACACGGTTCAACTATAGAAATTGTGAATAATATCTCCCTCTCTCGGTGGCTGCCAGTGAATTAGAATCCACTTCCCCAGCAGGCACGCGTGGAAGGCTGTGAAATGAGTCTCTGGAAGAGCCTGCCGAAAGGAGAATGTGTGCGAAAGAGTGGCAGAGTGGTGCCAAGGGATCCAAAATTGTGACCTTGATATATGTACATTTGAGTAGAGGAAATGGTAAAAACTCTTTGAGGATATCACTCCAGTGCAGTAACTTGTGTCACAGGAGAAAGTGTGATCTGTTGCGGTGTGTGGGCTCCCAATTAGCACCTCTTTTAATGGCTGTCACATATACCTTCATCAGCTGGAAACTGTTTTGGGAGGCCTCACGTTTAGGGGAAGATGATTTAGCTTTTGCCTGCAACCTTTACAGCCTTGCGTCTTGCAGGCCTATGTGTAATGCATTTGCTTTTTTAAAAAACTGTGCTTCTAGGGAAGAAGGTGTGAAATGAAACAAGGGCAAGGTGCTGCCATTGGAAGTATTTTTTAATGGCATATTTGGTTAAAAGCTTTTCCCAAGTACAATCAACAACTTCTTAACAGTGGGCATTGAAAACTGGGGAAGATTGATGCAACTGTGCAAAAACATTCTGTTTTCTAGCTTGGAAGAGAAAGAAAGAGGAAAGTTTGTGTGGGTGCTTTGTGCATTACCATACTTACAACCTGGTCAAAGTTATGTTTTTGAAGTAAGACTGTACCTTGTTCCATAATGCATTCAGAAGTTTCTTCCCTTTGAGCTTAATTGTAATATTGAGCTGTTTAGAAATAACACTTTATATTCATCAACTCCTGCAAGCAGTTCTTTATTTTTCCTCCGCTTAATGTAGGCTTAAACTGGAGTTGCATTAAATAAGTGGCTTTGTGGTCTGCAAATTCATGAAGAAAATTGTTAGTATTTGCTTCCTGTTTCATTACAATTCTTTCTGGGCCTTATATCACCTCAATATTTATCATAAAAGGAAACAGCTTCCATTCCCTACATGTATCCCTTTTCTAGTGTTTGGATTGATTTTAGTTTTTGCCTTTCTTTTTTCAGCACTGTCTTTCTTCAAGGAGTACCAGAAAAATGTTAGGCTCCTGTCTGCTTTTTAACAGGAGGCACTTGGCCCAAGTTTTTGCATGTTGCCAGCATCTTCTAGGACGTGACTATTTCAGCCTCCGGACTAATTTCTGTGCTCTCACAGAACTGCGTACCAGATGGATATCAACTTATAGAAAGGTTGCTCCCGCCTTCACCAGAGCACTGGCCTTTGGAGAAAAGATAGCCATCATTGACCAAAGAGGAGAACACACCTACAACGATTTGTACACTCGAAGTCTTTGCCTCTCCCAGAAAATCTGTAAGGCACTTGGAAACTCAGATGGTGACTTGAAGGGTGAACGGATTTCCTTTTTATGCCCCAATGATGCTTCCTATGTCACTGCACAGTGGGCGACCTGGATGAGTGGAGGTATTGCTGTTCCTCTGTACAGAAAGCATCCTGTGTCGGAACTGGAGTATTTCATCCAGGATTCTCAGAGTACTCTTCTGCTTGCCGAGCAAGAGTATGAGGAGAAGGTTACCCCCACTGCTGAGAAACTGGGGGTGCCTGTGCTCTCGCTTCCCCAGTCAGGAAAGTGGGATGTGACGACTGATGGATCCCTTGGAGATGCCAGTTGCCCCATTTCAGAGTGGGAGAACAGAGGAGCCATGATCATCTACACAAGTGGGACAACAGGAAGACCCAAAGGAGTCCTTAGCACTCACCAGAATGTCCATGCTATGGTGAGTTGATAGTTTGTCTTCTGAACTGGGGCTCACTTAGGAAGTGTTTTGGGGTAGTGTGGGCCATCTTTGGAACCTGTATGAAAGGGTGTCACTGAGCATTGGAAGCGTGTGTGTGTGTGAATCACAGACAGATTGAGAAATACGGCTTCCAAACAAGTTGTACTTTTGAGAGGTTTCCCATGTGTGAAAAGCCAAGGTGGCACTTTCAGTCTTTTTTCCCATTTGCATTGCCTCAGAGTATCTATCAAGGCATCTGAAAAGTCTGTTGACTTTTAAGTTCCTTTCCCCTGGGCAGAAAAATCCATTTGCTCCCTCAGCTGAAAAGAGTGAGAGCTGCGGAGTTGCTAACAGTGTGGACGGCACAAGGTTTCTGCCTGCAGTGGCTAAAGAACCTTAGGGAGGAACTGCAGGAGTGGAACTGAGCTAGTCTGTGGTGTCCAAAAAACAGCTTATGAAAGCTTATGCCTTTTAATCAGATGTATTAGTCGGAAAACATGCTACCAGCATGTTGTGTGAACAAAGCGGCACGATTTAGTAATGCGGTTTATTTAATGAGCCATGTTTGGAAAAATATGGCTTAGGTCAATGCCTAAATCCTGCCTTTATCTGTCTACCTGAACCATCTTTTACACCTTGCTCAGCTGGTGGAGCTCAAGATTCTAGTAAAAAACACAGTAACTCCTGCAAGAGTCAAATTGCAAGGAGGGCGCCTATATCAGTCAAATAAACAAACAAACAAACAAACAAATCTGATATGCGCCCCCCCCAGTCTAGTTACCATCCAGAACATAATCCAGTTTGAAGCAACCTGTGGTTTAATAGTAGTAGCATCAGTCTGTGGGATTTTGCCTCTTTTCCTAATACTGTATGTTGCTTAACTGTTCCTGCAGATAACTGGGCTGGTTGAAAAATGGGCATGGACAAGCGATGATGTGATTCTCCATGTTCTCCCTTTGCATCATGTCCATGGGGTGGTCAACAAACTGCTGTGTCCCCTCTGGGTGGGTGCCACCTGCATCATGCTTCCTGAGTTTAGTGCACAAATGGTAAGTTGGCCTGAATTGAGGGGGCTACTTCCTTATCTCCTAGTTGCATAGCAATGGAAGACATTTTGCTTATCATGGAGCATGCTTTGCAAGGTGTCTTTAAGGCAGGCTTGTTGTAAGTAGTCAGTGGTGAGCAGAGGTCTTCTCCCAGTGAAAAGGAGCAGGTTCTCTTAGACCATCAGCGTACAACAAATGACCAAAGCATATTTTGAACAGGAGTGTGCTGAATATTTCTTCATTCTTCAACTGCCTGTGTTACTGCTATGACACATGTAGGGCCTCTTTTCATCCTGGTGCCTTTCACTTACGTTAGAGTTTAGCACCCATGCTTTTTAGCCTGATCAGGAAGGACTAGCCAAAGGAATTTAGCATTCTTGCTGTCCCCTGTGCGAAAGTCTAGGTGTCTTTCGTGTGTTTCATTCAGGTTTCAAGGAAATTTGAGGACATGGATCCATTCATTCCCCTTAAATCGATTCAAACTTCCCTGTTGTGGCCAATAAGGGAGGGGTTTAAGACAGTGGATGTGTTCCAGAAGTTCAGAAGGGAAGGGGCTGCAGGCCGTCTGCCCATTTAGCAAGAGGGAAGAGCTGGGTCACGTCTGTAGTGGCAGTTTGCTTTTTTCCTGATTGAATGGTTCTGCAGCATCAGTCATAGTTACAGATTTGTATTCTTTTTTGCATTTGGTGGTGGTTGTTTTTTTAAATAGGAAAAGGCAAGAAACCTTTCTAAGTGCTCTTGTGGTAGCTTTTAACAGATTTTCAGGGAAGGGTGACTCTCTTCTTGCAGTTGGGGGCTCTTCGAGGTAGTTGCTAGTTGGTCTCTCCCACATCTCCCCTGGGTTGATAGGTCTCCCGCTGCTGCAGCAACATAAACTTCGTGCCAGATGTTGAGATCACGGCTTTAGGACTGGATGTAGCTTTGATGCATCCACTCTGTTGCAAAGCAGATGAAAGACACAGCAGCAGCTCCATTGTTGTGAACCCTTTAGAGGGAGGACGCAGAGGACCAAGAATTTGACCAGGGCATTTATGCCTGGAAGCTTCTATCAGTCTTGGTGGTGTAGGGAAAAAAGGGGGCAGTGCATCTGAAAAGTGAAATGCCAGGCGAAAATCCAGACAATTGTAGGCACAGCAAGAGCCTTTTTCCTGTCATTCACCTCCTCTCAGCCAGGGTTACTGTTTGTGTATGTGACGTGTTAGTTGAAAGCTCACTTCTGACAGCATCTGATCTCTTCTGCCCAAATTCTTTTTAAAGTGCTTTATTAAGCAAACAATTTGCTTGTGCCAGTGACGATCACAATGTGATTTAAAATTAAAATTAAAGAAAGAAAAAAATACGTAAATAAAAATGCCTGGAAGTGTATTATAAACTTGCATGAAGAGTCCACATTTATTGCTGTCAGATTGCAGATACCAGGGAAAACTGCTTCCCCCATTAGTTCTTCCCAAACACTGGGGAAATACAAGCAGTAACACTCCAAAGTTATGCTGATGGTCTTGTGAATTTCAGCTCAAATTGTGGCAGTAGAAGGACAGAACCAAACCACATTAATTATTGGTTCAGCTCCCAAATTGCATGTCCTCTACCAAGGCAGAGGCAATCCTTATTGAGCTGACACAAGACAAAAACTTCTGGGTATTCATCACATTGGATGTCAACACCCTTCTGCTGGCCGTGTAAATAATGAATCAGTTCATCTAATTTCTTTTGTCTAAACTCTGAATGAGTATAAGAAAGTAGAATGTGACTGGAAGTCATGTTAGTCTCTGTCTTGTTTTAGGCAAGTTAGGCTTTGCATTCTTGTATTGGTGAAGAAAATCTTCGACTTTTCAGTTGGCTGAGGAGCCCACTGAGATTGGTTATGGGAATTCAGGAAAAAGATTTCCCTGCCTTGCTCCCTTCTCTTCTTTCCCAGTGACTTCTGCATTGGCCTCCTGTACCTTGCCCAATCTCACTGAGGGGTTAGGGTTCTCCTTCACACTGGGAAGAACACTGCTACGAGTTGCCTCCTTCCTGGGACATCGTGGTTTAAGGCCGACCTAGGTGGGGGACGGTTAAAGAGTTGAGCAGGTTCAGGGTAATTGAGAGACATCACCCAGATGTTTCAGAGCTGAGTCGATATCTACTGCAGGTTGGCCGATGGGAGCCAGCAGGAGTCCAAGGTGAGTAGGGACAAAACAGAGAGTAACAAAGGAGCCAGCAAAAGCCGTTTGCAGGAAATGCCATCCTTCTCCATCTTGAACAGGATGTCTTTATGGCCGTTCCTTCTGAGAGTGCCAGTGGGCAGAGCATTCCAGCAGAGGGGATCCTTTCCTGCTTGGAGAGATGCTCCGACCTTGGGGGCTCACTATAGGAGATAGCCACGGGTTCCAGTTTCTGCCACTGGCGCTGCAGTTCTTCTTTCATTGAAATAAAAGTTGCCACTTCTAACATGCAAAACTGTCTCCGCAGCATCCGCCCACTTCCGCCCTCCTGCAGAGTGTTTCATCCTAGGATGGATGAGAGCAAAGAGGGCTTTATTGCCACCGGAAGACCAGCCAAACCCTCTGTGGCTTATTGTCCTCCTAGCCCTGGCCTCCTCCATGTGATACCCCCTGAGTTGATGACGAGAGCTCGGCTGATGCGCCCTGTGCTCTGTGCCAGGCAAGGGCAAGAGAGGACAGTTCTCCAGAAGGTCCAGCAAAGGGCCCGCTCCTTGGCTCAAGAAGGAGGGGCCAGGGGCCAGCTGCCTGCCCTTTTTCTTCCACGCGAAGGGTCCCGCGAGCATTTGTGTTGCTCTCCTTTTGTTTACTCTCTCCTGTTTCATTATTTGTGTAAGAGCCTCCCGAGGGAGCAGGAAAGTGTTTTCATTGATATGACAAAGAAAGTGCATGAGGGCAAATTGTGCTTTCTTGTCGTGTTTAACGCAAGCTGTCTTTAAATTCCAGCCTATTTACAAAGTGCCCTTTGCTTCCAAAATTGGCTCTCAGCAAAGCAGCGTGTTTCATCAGAGGATTTCTCAGAAGGAGCTCTAGGTTTTCCTTCAGCCTTTTGTGTTTCTGTTTCTTTGCACCTCGAGAGAGCAGTCAATTACAGAGCGATATAAAGGAGCCGTAGCTTTGATGGCTGACACGTCAATCAAAACAAAGTCAGGACTAGCTTCTAAAGCAGCGGCTGCTGCCACTGAATCTGCCTTGAGTGATACTGGCACGGGTTCAGGAGAAACCGCAGCAGTGCACCCAACCTTTCTAATCACTAACACTTCATTATATGCAATAAATACTTTATTATTACAGTGTTTATTAGATTACTTAATTCACAGCATGCCCCTACAGTTGTAGATACAGGTGGCAGTCTAGTTCAGTCATTTTCCTACCATATTCAGTGCAGGATCAAACACGGCCAGGCCTTTGGTTATCCTGGCGTTTTTTCCTTGTGCCCTGTCCAGGAGAATAAGTAGGAGAATTTAGCAAAATGCTGTCTGGGGCTGCTCCTCTTGTCTGCTGTGGGGGAACTTGACAGGGTGGGCAATGGCCGAATGAGGCCCTCAGTATGACTAAGCCTCTCCTCCAACCCCACAGAGGCTCCATTTCACTCAGCACCAGAAGTTTCGCGAGGGCCTAAAGGAAGACATTGTGGAAGCAGTGGCCAGGATGGAGACAGGAAAAGACCAGGGGCCTTCTCAGTAATTTATGAGAGAGACAGGCCTTGCTGGGTCAGAGAAATTCCCCATTGGGTCACATTCTGCTATCTTCACATTTAACTAAACCAAAAAGTGGGAAAAGGTGTAATGGACAAGCTGTACCGATGTGCTTCAGGACCAGGCCAGGACCGAATGGGGAGACCCTTCTGTCTTTCAGAGCGCTGCTTTCCCTGCTCCCTTTCCCTCCCTCTGCCCTCAAATCGGCAGGCTGGGAGGTCATGTTCTTGCCAGAGATCCCAACGGATTGCTCACTGAGACAGGCCTTGGTGAGACCAAGGCCACTGTCCCGCTTTGGCTTAAACCTGCAACCTGCTTCTTTGGCTTGATGCAGGTGTAAGGCCAGGCTGTGTAAGTGTTTCAAAGCAAACAGATTTGGAGATGGCCTGGCACTCTTGGGGCTCCCATAGCATCCCCCTTGCTCCTATCCTTGCAGGAGAAAGCAGAGAGCCCCATCCCAGCCAGCCAGACTTTTGTCTGCTAACAGCCTCCTGGCCAGTTCACATGTAGGAGAAAGAGACTGAGAACATATATCCACCTGCAGAGTCTGGGAGATAAATTGGATTCTAAAGAGGAAAAACAATACAGGGGCTGAGATTTCTGCAACCTCACCTTAGTCTCTTCCAGTAAACATTCAGGAAGAATCTTATTTTTTGTGCAAGTGGGATGAGCAAAAACTTGACATTAATCTCAGTCCCCTCCAATTTTGACTGTACCTGGAGAAAGTCCCCCCCCCCCCCCGCTTCCGTAAATTGACTCTCATTCCTCTCATCCCCCTGCTTCCTGCTTGGAGGGGGAAGCTGGCAAATGGGTTGGAGGGACAGTCACCAGTACTAGATTATACAGGGTCTATTTCTCACCACCCCGCATGAAAAAAAAGTTATTGTTTTTCTTTCCTTCTTGCCAGAACTGCCATTTGTCCTCAGCTGCTGTTGCAGAGTAATGCCTTTTGATGTGGAAAGTGGAAAAGGGAAGAAGGGAGGGAGAGATTATTAAAAAAAAAAAATAGGAAACTGGAGCCTGTCATATTTTGTTAGATTCCCAAGGCCGGGGAAAGTGCTTGCTCCTTTCAACATGCCCGCAGCAGAGCGGAGGTTTAAAAGTGCCCGCAACACTGAAGGCCTAACTGAGCCAACAGATGAGGACGTGATTAAAACAGAGCCATGCCGAGTGCAGAAACAGTTTGAGGGTGTAGCAAACAGCGAGAGCCTCCATGGAGGAAGAACCCAGGTGAGCCAAGTCTCTAGCAGCTGAAAGAACCCCAAAGGTAATTCTTTCTGTGTGGCATTAGAGCATTGACCCATCTAACACGGTCACCTGTTGTATCCCGGGTGGCCAGGCCTAGTCCTCTGGAAAGCTCCTAAACAGGTCAGGAGGGGTTCTGTCCCTGCCCTGCTCTTTGTCCTGGCACATGCCAGCCAGTGGCTCTCCCTGCCCCTGAACTGGCTGCTGGACTTGGCTGTCAGGTGGGTCTCCATGGTTTGGTTTGCTCTCTTGGCGTTTGACTCAGATTGGCTGCTCTCCTAAGTTAACTCTCTGATTTTCAACTTAAGCTCTGATAATAGGCTTTGGGTTCACCATCTCTGGATTTGCACATCATCACAGCATCCAAATTGGAAGGTGCCCTAAGCAAGGGATGGCAACAGTCAGTGTACCACGGGAAGGCAGCATCTAGGAGACTCCCCAGGCCAGGCTCCAAAGCCAGGGGTGCACAGGAGATCATCTCGGGGACAGAGCATTCTCTTGCAGCACTGCTCAGCTGGATTAATTCTGTCACAGGGCTATTTGGATTAACTTGAAAGGTTTTAGAGCAGTGTTTTTGAAACTTAACAACTTTAAAATGTGTGGACTTCAACTCCTGGAACTCCCCAGCCAGCATTGGCCTATCTTGCCCAGTACTGTCAGCAGCTCCCAGCATTTAAGCAGGAGATGCTCTTGCGGCAGACAAATGAGAGTTCTACTCTGAAGCAGGATCCATCCTGCTTTCTTGGCAGCACCACCCTGCTTGGCTTTGTGAGATCAGATAGATGTTCCCACCCAGCTATTCCAGGTCCCACTAGCAGAGTGTTTTGCTTATTCTATGGTATCTATCCTGCCCCAGTGTCACATGCCCAGGGTGTAAATATCCCAGGTTGCCAGCTTGAGCTCTGCCGAAGAAGAAACCCTCTGCCCAGGGCCTCCTGTGCCATGGCTCCCAACTGGTGAGCCTTCTCTCTCTACTAAGATCCATGCTGGAGTTCAGCACATTCCCTTTGCTGGTGGTTAGAAGATGCCCACTGTTTCCCCCTTGTTAGTCTTCTTTCAGACAGCCCAGCTCTTCACTGCCATGCCTGGCATCTTTTTCTTTCATCAACCTCTGCTTTGGCCAAAGCCACTCCAGCACAAGTGTAGTCAAAATTTGTTCATGCTTAACATTTAACAATAAATAAATATTGATGGAGGATGGGGTTTGGTAGCAGGATGACGGGCATGGAGGAAGTAGCAACTGTCCACCTTCATGCCTTCATTTCCCCGTGGCATGCGCCTTTGCGCCTGAGCATTGTGCACTGGAGAGGGGTGGAAGCCCCCCAAGTGTCATGAGTTGTTAGGGAATACATTTGTCAGCAACAGGATGGAAGAGGTTGCCATAACAGAGCTGAGACCGTCTTTTATTTATTCATAGGTTTTTCATTCTTCCTTAGCTCACTGAGGGAGACCAGCAGCAGAGTCGGGGGCAAATTAGCCAAGCTTAAATATTCATGATGAGGCCTGGCCTCTCAGTGTTCCTTGGGCTGACAGCTTGGGGAGGCCCCAGTGATCTGGCTGGATGTGAAGATTTGACTCATTTTGTGTCTGTCACATGGCACTGGGGGAGCAAGGCATTTGCTTAGTGTGCGGCTTAGTGTTGGTCTGTTGCTTAGACCCCCAATGACTTGGTGACTCAATGCATCCTCTGTTGACTCTTCCTCCACTCAGTCCTGCCTGGGGGAGATCCACAAGTTCTGAGCCTCCTCTTTGAACCCAGAACACCATGTGGCTTTGCGCAGAGTTGCCTTCAACACCCACAGGAATCATTGGCTGGCCTTCTCAAAGAAGGTCATTGAGCAGCCTCGTTCTCCTCTCTTCCAGGTCTGGGAAGCCCTCCTGAATCTTCAAGCTCCCCGGGTCAACATCTTTATGGCAGTGCCAACCATTTATAGCAAACTGATTGAGTATTATGACAAGCATTTCTCTCAGCCGCTTGTCCAGGACTTCATTCTTGCCGTCTGCCAGGATCACATCCGGTAGGTGAGCCCATCTCATCCCAGAGGGGCTGTGCTTCCGGTTCCCACCCCCCACCCCAAAGCAGAGTCTGACCCTTTCTTAGGTGCCTTTTGACCCAGAGGCTTGGGAGCCCCCTTCCCGTGTACTTCAGCGCAATCCCAAGCTCTCCAGGCATTCAGAGAACGTGCACCTAGACGGGAGCCTGAAATTAATCATTTTCCCAGAACGGCCTGGTCTAGCCGAAGGCTGGGCTGTCCCTACAGGGAAGCAGGTTCAGTTGAAGGCAGCCTCATACAGATGCTGGTTTTCAACCCAAAGGACTTAGGATCTGGGTGTGGTTGGACTGCCTCCTCCTACACTCATCAACCCATCCCTGGAGACTGTTTCTTGAAGCCGTTCTTTCAACAGCTACCTGGCAGCCTTTTCCGTGGCAACTGCTGTAAGCCACCTGCCTGGTGTCATTATTGCTGTCTTAGGACGAGGCAAGAACCCAGGCTTTTCAATATGATTAACATTGATACTTTTAACTTAGAGCAATTGCTTTTTTACGGTCAATTTTGGAGTTGTGGGAATAAACTGGAAACAAATCTCAGGAGAGGGGGTGGTGCAGGGAGAGGGAGGCTGTATTCCTTTTTAAGGCAGCTGGAGCCTCCTCCTGGGATGCTTTGGGGAATGTGTAGAGGGAGGGGGATGATCTCAGGACCCAAAAGTTGCCCCTGCCACATAATGACCTTGTTTCTGAGACTCCCCTAGGCTTTAGAATATAATCTGTCCAGCAGCATTTCCATCCCTCTGAGGGCTGAGCTGGGCAGTGAAAGGAGACCCTTTGGGGAAAGGATTTCTCCTTGAAAGCAGGAGCTGGTCCTCTTCCTTCATGCTGTGCTGATTCACTGGCTCAGCTTTCCCTGCAAGAGAGGAGAACCAGGACTTATCCAGGCTAACCACCTCCTTCCTTGTTCAAAACCATCTGTCACATTTCTGCTGCCACTTTGGATTCCGAGATCTGAATGCAAAGTCTGTTATCTGTTCTGGCAGGAACCCAGACCTTATCCTGATGTCCCCACCTTGCTACAACAAACACTGCCCTGTTTTCTCCTCTCTACATGGCAATTGCTGTAGGGCATCTGGCTCCAGGGCAGGCTGGCCTGAGAAAGTGGTGCTTGGCTTTCTTGCAGTTGTCCCATGTGATTGTCCAGAGGCAATTCCTGCAGCCAGATGTGAACGGCGCTTCCTGTTTTGCCCTGATTATGGAGTCCCTCCTGAGGCATCAGGGCCTGAGACACTGAACTCCCTGTTGAAAAGACTCCAGTGCTTCCTGTCAGTCACTTGGTTGAAGTAGATCTTGTAGATCTCTGTTCTGCCCTGAATGTTTCCAAGGTGCCTGACTCCCACTGGCCCTACCACTTTCAGGTTGATGGTATCAGGGTCCTCCGCCCTCCCGGTGCCAGTCCTACAAAGGTGGAAGAGCCTTACGGGGCACATCCTCTTGGAGAGATATGGAATGACAGAGATTGGAATGGCACTTTCCAACCCGCTGCATGGCCCTCGTGTTCCAGGTGAGACTCTAGAGAGAGTTTACAAGCTGCTTTGAAGCTCTTGTTGTCATATTTGATACTGCACATTATAAGTATTAAAAAAAAGAGAGTAAAGCTTCAGGGCTGTGCTAACGGAAACTGAGTGGAACAGAAAGAAGCAAGACTTTTTCCCCACAGAAAGCCATAGGCTGTCCCTGCTTTTTATTAACATGTTTACCATCCTTCCAATCTGGTACTCCCAAAGACCTAGCGAGGCCAGGTTCAGAGAAAACTACCTTGTTGATTGGTAGGGTTTGATCACAGGTTTCCTTGATGCTCTGTTGGAAACTGGTTCTTGGAGGCTTGGTTTACACAAGCAGGAAGATGCTGACCTATAGGCTAACCTTTTGCTCATGAGGGCAAAACAGTGAACGAGGAAGAGTAACTTTAGGTATAGCCACCAGCCCAAGAATTAAGAAGATACAATCTTTGCAAGATATATAAAAATCAACATTAAGTCAACCTGTTGGTCAACTCTTGGGATTTCACCATAATCTGCTGCAAGATCCTTTTAGCTAGAAAAGGCAGAGGTAATAGTGAGCATTGCATCCCCTTTGTGGGTTTCCCAGAGGCATCTGGGAAGAAAATTGGACTAGACAGGCCTTTTCATTTTGATACAATCCAGTTCAGCAGTTTTGAGATTTGCATGGATGGAGCCCTTGACATTTTACATGCAAAGCGTGCGCTTACCTTGTACTGTGGCCCATCCAAAAGCTTAGTGCTGTTTCTTAAGACTGAACCAGCTTACACCGGGGATCTTTTTCAGGTTAGCTAGAGTTGTCTGGGCTACATTACCTGAATTCCCCTCCAACACTCATTTTATCACTGAACTCTACTTATGTTTTGCCCTTCATAAAAAATCCCCTGAGGCAGATAACTATCTCTGCTTCTCTGCCTTGAGATATTTTTTTACGAAGGGCAAAATATAAATGGAGTTCGGTGATAAACTGAATCTTGGAGACGTGCATTACCAGTGCAAACAATTTCCACTCCAAGGTGTTCAGGTAAGATAGCAATGGCCCTGCCCCAGCACTGTGGGGGCTCCCATTCCATTTGGCAGTAGGGTATATAACGGAAGCCTCCCAGGAGGAGGAGGAGGAGGAGGAGGAGAGAGAGCTTGAGGTTGACCCAGCAGAGCCCAGAAAAGAGTAATTGGGACAGCCAAGAGCTTCAGAACTGGACAGCTCCTACTGCAGACTGTAGAGTTCGCAGGCAGGAAGAGACACCTGGCCTCTGTCGTTTCCAGGGAACTGGCAGGGAGGCAAAGTTCCCACTTTTGTTGGCTTCTCTTTGGGGTGCCCAAGCAGAGGTGTCCATAGGGTAAGGTCAAAAAAATTAATATGGTGGCCATGACAGTGTGATCAAAGTTCCTCCTGTTTTATATGCTGCCACCTTGACTTTTTTTTACCATACCCTGGAGACGCCCCTGCTCCCAAGACATTTGATCTCCATTTTTCGAGTGAGAACCTTGTAGCCCTTGCCTAGGTGCTTTGAGTCTTCTGACGCATGCTCTGTTTTTCCCTCCAAATGTGTTTGGGAATGCCAACAGGCATTTTCTTCTTCCCTTCTGCCCACTTTGCCACTTGCAGAGGCATGTCCCTCTGCCCGTCTCCCTGCAGGGACCCTCTCCTGTCATCAGTAAGGCCCCCAGTGTTTCTTCTTTCAAGGTGCTGAGATCTGAAGGTACAGGGGAACCTTCTGTTTGAAAGGCGAGGAGATGAGAGATTTAGAGATAAATGTTTTGATTGTACATGGTTAAACCCCTGCTTAAAATGCTTCTGTTTTCTACAGCCCTTTCTCCCTCCTCCTCCCCCTTCCCTTGAATCCCCCTTGGTGTTGTTACTGTGAAGGGAAATGAATAATTCATGGCCAGTGAATGCCTCGCTGGGCCTAATCACCACTTTAATTGGAGGTTTAGATCAGAGGTGGCTAATAGCTCCTACAGAGGGGACTCCGTAGATGGTTGACAGCAAGAGTGTGGAGAGCTTGATTGTTGGCCTGTTTCAATTCTCCCAGGACATTGCCATGCATAACAGCATCCAGGTCCCCCGATACCAAAGGACACAGACCACAGGGCCAATTAAATTTATCAGGGAAAGGCTGACAACTAACTTAAACAGAAGAGGAACTGGGCGACTAATAGGGTCGCTCCTGACTTGACAGCTGCCTGTCTTGGGACGGTGGATAGCCAGTTTGACAAACGTCCAAGAGCTCCTAGCTCACAGGGGTAGCGATTTCTCCCTGGCTGCACGGTTAAATGCCAGAAGTAAAAAGAAACAAAGGCTGCTTTTAAAATTTTTTAACTCCTGATACGCTTAGAACTAACTCTTCTTCGCTCCTGCCCCCTATCTATGCTTGCATCACCGAGGAGCCAAATTGGACCCTCTGTTACCCAGGCAGACTTAATTTTTAAATGTCACTCGGGCCCGAAAAGCGAGAGTCATTGTCTTCGCACAAAGACTTTAATTGCACCGTCGTACTGGTATCACTATAATTAACATTGTCTGCATTTCCCAGCCTTTTATAGACCTCCGCTTTCAAAGGCT